GCTACTGTTGTTTTTCTTTCTATATGCCATTGAGTAACTTCAGCAAGGTTCATTTTTCATATACGTTTTGCACAAAAATGCAACATGGTGTCTCTGAATCTATCATGCTGAGAATCTTTTGTTTACAGATGTCACAGATTCCTGGGAGACTAAATGCAGACTCTAAATATATAAAATGCTCCTGGAAAGCTGAGTCTTATCTTTGACTAATGTGGAAGTTGTTCCTATGAGAGAAGCAGTAAAGCACTATGTCTTTGTCTGGAAGGTATAGCTTGTGAAACAATGCCCACTTCTTCTGTTCTGGAGATTTGTTGTTATACATCTCACAGTTTGTACAGCAAAGCAGAGCAGTCTGTGTCTCCCATCAGTTCTACCCAGCCTTGTCAATGGTGAGGGATAATGGGAACTGCAGTCTAATAACATATGAGAGGCAAGAGACACTTTCACACATGGATTCTGAAGACTTGCATTCTGAAGATTTCTCAGCTTATATTGGTCGATAATTTTTTATACATTGTCTGCTTTGGAGATAAAATGTGCTATCTGTTATGTATTTTTATGTGCTGAATTCAAATATGACAAAACAATTGATTGACTACTGTTTCCAAAAAAATAGCTTGGAAATTTTTACATTTTATGTCTCTGTATATACACACTCCCCTTCATGGATTGCTGCCTTGTCATGGTGAAGGGGCTTGAGTAGCTCAGAGAAGCTATGGACTATGCTGTGCAGGGACACCCAAGACAGACAGGTCATACTGGAGAGTTCTGATTAAACGTAACCGAAGTGGTGTAGGAATTGGCAATCCACTCCAGTATCTTTGCCAAGAATACCCCATGAACAGAAACAAAAGGCTAAAGGATATGACGCTGGAAGATGGGCCCCTCACTTTGGAAGGCATCCAACATGTTACTGAGGAAGAGCGGAGGACAAGTACAAGTAGCTACAGAGCTAATGAAGTGGTTGGGCCAAAGCCGAAAAGACGCTCAGCTGTGGACGTGCCTGGAAGGGAAAGGAAAGTCTGATGCTGAAAAAAAAAAATGCATAGGAACCTGGAATGTAAGATCTACGAACTTTGGTAAGCTGGATGTGGTCAAACAGGAGTTGGCAAGAATAAACATTGACATCTTGGGCGTCAGTGAACTAAAATGGATAGGAATGGGCGAATTCAATTGAGATGATTATCATATCTACTATTGTGGGCAAGAATCCCATAGAAGGAACGGAGTAGAGTGGGAAAAGCTGTAATGGGATATAATCTCAATAATGATAGAATGATTTCAATACGAAAGGCAGACCTTTCACCATCACATTCATCCAAGTTTATGCACCAACCATCAATGCTGAGGAGACTGAAATTCACAAATTTATTTATTTATTCATTCATTCATTCATTCATTCATTCATTTATTTACTTATTGCATTTATACCCCGCCCATCTAGTCAACTGACTACTCTGGGCGGCTAAAGCCAATGAAGACTTACAACACCTTCTAGAACTGACACCAAAGAAAAATGTTCTTCTCATTATAGGGGACTGGAATGATAAAGTAGGGAGTCAAGAGATAAAAGGAATAACAGGTAAGTTTGGCCTTGGAGTTCAAAA